GCAGGGCTCAAACTAGGAGTATAGAACGGCGAGGCGGGGGGATGGAAGGGTGAATGTGGCTTAGGGAGTCCCCTTGTGTGTTGTATTTTTTTAAATAATGTGTATGTGTGTCTGTGTGTGGGTCCATGCACATGTGCAGGTGCCTGTGGAGACCAGAGGCATTGCATTCCCAAGGCTAGAGTTAGTTAACAGGAGGTTGTGAGCCGCCTGACATGGGTGCTGGAAACAAAAGTTGGGACCTGTGGAAGAGCAGTAAGTGCTCTTAACCACTGAGGCATCTCTCCAGTTCCCCCATATGTTCGTTTTTTTGTTTTGTTTTGCTTTGAGATAGGGTCTCCTTACCCTGGCTGGTCTGGCGCTCACAGTGTAGACCAGGCTGGTCTTGATCTCACAGAGATCTGCCTGCCTCTGCCTCCCAAGTGTTGGGACTAAAGGCGTGCACCACCATACCAAGCTTTCCCCTCCCCCCGACCGTATATTCTTTATTAACATTTTAATATTAATACTAGTCTGATAAAAACTTTTTACTAGGGCCCCTTGGGCTCTGTTGCTCCCAGCAAATAGGTCTGTAAGTAACTGCATTGTGTGTGTGTGTGGGGGGGGGTTCTGGAATGTATATATAATGTATATATATTATACACTGTCTCACCAAGGGGACAGTTATTTCTCTCATATCTTTAACATGTCTTCACAGAGATCCATGTTTATGCTTCAGCTTTGTGAAGGGAAATTTTCCTGTCCAGGTGACTGACCAGCATGGTTAGATGAACTGTTAATGGAAAAGTATAATAGTATATCTTTGTTATCTTTTGAGCAGTTTAGAATGTCTTATTTCCACCCAGGTCAGGAGACATGACTCAGATCCCGTTCTTCAGAACAAAAGTTATGAAACAGATTAGTTTAAAAAGAAAAAAAAATCTACAAAATAGTCATGCTTTACCAGGAAGAAGTTATTGGCTCTTAATGGGCTTCAACACAGTTCTGGTACCTCAACTTTCTTCCCTTCCACGTAGTACTTTAAGTCTTAACAGCAACTGGAATTCTGAGACTTTCTCCCTCCTTTCACACGGTATTTCAAATTTTAAGGCGAACAACTGTGATATTTTCCTTTTCTTAAAGGTTAAGTGTGGGGCCCGGCGTGGTGGCACACTCCTTTAATCCCAGCAGAGGCTGGTGGATCTCTGTGAGTTCAAGGCCAGCCTGGTGTATATAGCGAGTTCCAAGCCAGCTGGGACTACAGGGAGACCCAGTCTCAAAAAGCAAAAAAAAAAAAAAAAAAAAAAAAAAAAAAAAAAAAAAGTTAAGCGTGATATCAGGAAAATCGGAGGTGGATCCCAAACTGCTTAGGAGGAGAACGGTCCATTGATGACTTCCAAGGCTGCCAATGTCCGTCAGGCTATCTAACTGTTATTAGTAAAATCAGGGATGCAGTTCTTGGCGGGTCTCTGCCACCCGCTAGCTACAGTTTTGGTAATCTCAGTTTAAGTCTGTGCTGACTGTGGCCCTTATCAAAGCCCCTCCTAGCACGTCCACGGCGCTCTCACCGCCTCCCTGTCCTTATTTCGCAGCACCTAGCCCCCCGTAAAGAACAGAATAAGCCTGAAGTGAAACGGAAGTCAGCTGATGTCCCAGGCGAAGGCCTCCCCGCAGCCCGACTGCAGTCTCGTTTGCAGAACGGGTCAGCGATTCCACATCTGTCTGGGCGGCGACCCCCAAGGCCTTTCGCCCCGCTCCCCTTCGCAGCGCGCCCACCTCCGTGCGCATGCGCGGCGCGGGCCAAGCGCGTCACGGCTCGCAGGCGCAGTCTGGAGAGCGCGCGTTTCGGAGGCTGTCAGTGGGCTAGGGCCGGAGCTCTGGCCCGGAGGCCTGCGTTTTGTGTTCCTTGGGTTGAAGGAGAGGGTGTTTATAGAAGGTAGCTTTGGGAAGCCCAGGGTGAGGCCTGAGGAACGGCTGCGGTGGGCGTGACCGTGTACTTACTACTGGATCTCTGTGGTGCTTTCGGCTGTGCAAGTACAGGTGAGTATCCTGGATACGAAAATCCGAAACGCTCCAAGGTCCTCTCGATCCCCAATATAACATCACAAGGGAAAATTCCACACCGGGAACTTTCCTGCTCAGAATTATTTAAAATGCTATGTAAAATTAACCTTCACACTGTGTGTCTAAAGTGTGCTTGAGGCATAAATGGATTTCGTGTTTAGAATCCCCTCCCCAACATACGATATTAAATATCTGCTAATGTTTGGAAATCAGGCAGGCTTCTGGCCTAGAGCATTTGAGATGAGGATACTCCAATCGCTCGTGAACTCTGGCCAAGCACACTCACTGGCCTGAGGGGACCTTCCAAGGCGGCCGCTGTGAGGGTGAGGAACAGTCCGAAATCTCTTATCCGGTATTTCTAAGTTCTGAAAACTTTCAAAATCATTGATGAATTGCAAAAGCCTATCAGCTAAATAATGCGAACCTACCCCTTTTACAGGTGAAAACAGACGTAGATTAGAGATCTACCTAAAGTCCCTGCTGGCAAATAATACATCCAGGGTCTAGGGTTGGTGAGGCGATTCAATTGGATAAAAGTGCTTTCCACTAAGCCTGAGGATGAGTAGGTCTTTGGGACCTCCAGGTGGAAGGAGAGAATCGACTCACAGAAGTTGTCCTCTGACCTCCACATATGCTCCATCCCCCCTCCTGAGTAAATACAATTTTTTAAAAAGGAAAAAAAATGTTCTTTTTCTGTTCTTTTAGACAGGGCCCCAGCTGGCCTGGAACTCCTAATGTAGATCAGGCTGGCCTCTTCATCTCACAGAGGAGATCCTCCTGCCTCTGCCTCCAGACTGCTGGGATTAAAGCATGTACCAGATCTTGTGCTCTAAACGCTTATGCTATTTTGTCACCAGTAAAAAAGTTCTGTAAAGGTCTAATGTAATATCTGGTATATGGTAGGGACGATACCAGTTTTTAATAGTTATTTTAGTAGATACCATGTCTAGGTACTGAGAGAATCTAAATGTAATGGAAAATAGTTCCAACTGTCCAGTCCAGTAACCTTCTTTTCCTTTTTTCCCTTTTCTTTCTTTCTTTCTTTTTTTTTTTTTTTTTTTTTTTTTTTTTTTGACAGTTTTAGCCTTTGCTAGCCTGGAACTCACTATATAGACCAGGCTAGCCCTTCAACTCACAGAGATCTGTCTACCTCTCCCTCTTAAATATTGGGATTAAAGGTATGTGCCACCACTCTTGGCTATGAGCATATTTTATTAAAGCTTTTTTTTGTGTGTGTGTGTTCTTGTGTGTCTGTGTTTGTGTGTGTGAGTGCAGATGCCCTCAGAGGCCAGAGGTGACAGGTCCCCTACAGCTGGAGTTAGGGACAGTTGTGAGCCGCCTGATTCAGATACTGGGAATCAAACTCTGGTCTTCTGGAAGAGCAGCAAGAACTCTTAACTGCTGAGCCATCTCTCCAGCCTCTACCAGTAGCACTGTTAATCAGAAAATTTCAAAAACAAAGTAGATGGAAATGCAGCCCTTAGGCCAATGTTACTTAAGCATAGTTTGTAGATTTTATCAAGACCTCAAAGCTAAATTGACTTGGAAATGGTAGACAAGTCAGTACCTTGAACAGTGGTGACAAATAGCTTTTGGTTGCCTGTCTCCACAGTCGTTGGATACCTGATTGAGTAGAAGGGAAGAGGTAAAACTTCAGAGGTGAATATTGAATAAAAAGATGGTGCTGCGAGGGAGTACTTTTTTTGGGAAGAGTGACTAGGACTGGCGCTTGCGATTGACAACTGGAATGAAAGGTGATGATTGTAGAATTGTGAAACTTGGTGATAGGTTTCGAAGTCAGTGCTCTGCTTCTCATTTCCAGTATTGCTAGTGGAGATGAAAATAAGGTTAAAAAAGTTAAATGGAAGAAAGCAGAAAGAGCTGCTTATCTGCTTTTCAATTACAGTCGCCCTAGATGTTACACTGCCTTTTTTAAATAAAGATTTATGAACACCTACCTATAATGTGATTCTTTCCAAGACATTGTAGGAAAAAAATGTTTTATTTTATTATTTTTATTTTATGTGTATGTGTGTATTGCCTGCATGTAGGCAAGTGGACCTGTGTCATGCAATGTCCTCAGAGGACAGAAGAGGCTGTCAAGAGCCCCTGGAACTGGAGTTACAGACAGTTGTTTGCTGTGTGGGTGCTGGGATTTGAACCCGGGTCTTCTGCAAGCACAGTCAGTGTTCTTAACCTATGAGCCACCTCTCCAGTCCCAATAAAATAAAAAGTTATTTTAAGCCTAGCTCTTGCACAAAAAGTTGTTGGCTGTTAAGCTGTGCTTCAGATAGATTGGAAAGTAAATATAAAGTGTATTTTGTTTTACTTTATTGTAATATTTCTTAGGAAACTAAAAGGTTTTTATAAAAATCTTGTGAGTATGCAGGTAAATTCTACTGTTTTAAAAGACATGTTTTTGCATTTATTTCTTTCGTTGGGGAGGTGGCATGCATGCATGCCATTATGTGCATGTAGAGGTCAAAAGACCACTTTCAGGAGTTGGTTCTCTTCCACCATGTGTCTCCCAGGGATTGAACTCAGGTTGTCAGGCGAGGTATTTTTTTTTTTAAATGATTCTTAACAGTGTTAAGGGGCTTATGAAAATTATTTTTATGGGAAATCTAAAGTATCTTTACTAGCAGACTGACATCATCACAGTTCATGTATCTTAGGTTTGAAATTTTAGCACTTTGTGGGAAATTTCGAAGATTTTTGTGGCATCCTGTTTTATTCATGGACAAATCATTAAAAACATTAAATCCATCACAGTTCATGTTTATGATCCCTGCAGCTCAATTGGTGATTATAGTTGCATGGAGGATTGTTGAGAACGTGGTGCTGTGCACAGTACCTCAGAAGGAACTTTGGGCCTGACTTCTGATCACTCACAATCAGCAGTGTGATCTCTAGTAAGTTCCTTAACCATCCCAGCCTTAGTTTCTACATTTGTACAATAGGAATAACAGTAGTTTTCAAATTACTTTCATCACCTGATTTAATTCTACCTTGGTTTGTTAACAGATAATTAATAGAAATTGTGAAAGTCTTGCTTACGATAATCTAATTTTTCTTAGAAAGCAGTCTAAAGGCCTGGAGCTCCTGGTTTGTTTTGTGTGTCATTAGTTCGATTGTTCTTTTGTTGTGGTCGTTACTTTTATTTTCTGCGTATGAGTGTATTGCCTGCATGTGTGCAAGTGCACCTATGTTGTGCAATGCCCACAGAGGTCAGAAGAGGGCGTCAGATCCCCGGGAACTAGAGTTACAGACTGTGGCCATGTGGGTGCTGGGAATTGAACCCAGGTCCTCTGTAAGTGCAGCCAGTGCTCTTAACTGCTGAGCCACATTTCCAGCCCCTCATTGTTCTTCCATTAATTATATTTTTATTTTTGATTAATTACATAGGTTAGCACACTAAGTATTGGCTTTTGTCATGGCCCCTTCATGGAAGTGTCATTATACTTGGTTCTCATTCCTTCTCTGCTGCTGCTTCCCTTCCTTCCCCCATTTAGCCTCTTGCAGCTTTTCTTTTATGTGAATTCCATTACCCTATTTCCCACCTCCCTAAAGATCTCTCTTCCTCCCCCCTCACCGTCCCCTCTCTAGTTCTATGACCTACAAAACCTGTGTAAATACATACATATAAATAATTTTAAATCTAGGTTCTGCATATGAGAGAGAACAAGGTATTTGTCTTTCTGAGTTTGACTTATTATGCTTAATATATGATTTCCAGTAAATTCATTTTCTTGCAAATGTCAGGATTTCATTTTTCTTTTTGGTTACATAAAATTCCATTGTGTGGTTGTATTTTTCTTTACCCTGTTGCTGGACATCAGGTTGGTTCTGTTTCTGGCTCTTGTGACTAGTACAGCTGCAAACATGGATGTGCAAGCATCTCTGATATGCTGACTTGGAATCCTTTTCCTATACTCAGGAGTAATGTAACTAGATCATACAGTACTATTTTCAGTTCTCTTGAGAAATAACTGTTGATTTCCACAGTGGCTGTACAAGTTTATGTTCCTACAGGCAGTAAGGAGGGGTTTCTTTCTCCCTGCTTCCTTGTCAGCTGTTGTTATCATTTGTTTTGTTGATAGCTGTTTGGACTGGGGGGAGATGAAATCTCAAAGCAGTTTTAATTTGCATTTCCCTGATGGCCAAGAATGTTGGACACTTTTGCAAGTATTTATTGGCTATTTGTATTTCTTTTGAGAATTGTCTATTCAGCTTATTAGCTCGTTTATTGATTATATGATTGGTGGGGGTTGAGTTTTTGTAGTTCTTTATATAGCCTGGATATATGCTTTTTGAAGATTTATTATTTTTATTTCTGTGAGTGCTAACAGAAGAGGTTGTCAGGTCTTCTGGAACTGGAGTTACAGGTGGTTGTGAGCATGCCGGCATGGGTGCTGGGAACCTATCTCTGGACCCCTAAAGGAGCAGCAAGCTCTCTTAACCTCCGAGCCTCCACTCCAGCTCCTCTGTCCTGGATACTAGTCACCTGTCTGATGCATAGTTGGCAAAGGTTCTTTTTTCCTTCTTTGTTCTGTATCTGTGTCTTCACTGTGCTGATTGTTTCCTTTGCTGTACAGAAGCTTCTTAACTTCATGTAATCTCCTTGTCAATTCCTGGGATTATCTCCTTTGCTGTTAAGAGTCCTGTTCAGAAGAATCCTTACCTAGGCTTCTCTCTTGTTTTATGGATGTTTTCCTCCAGCAGTTTTAAAGTTTCAGGTTTTACATTAAGATATTAGTTAATTTTTGGCAAGGTGACAGATATAACTCTAGTTTTATTCTACTTGTCGAAGCCCAGTTTACCCAGAACCATTTGTTAAAGAATCTATGTTTTCCTCAGTGTTTGTTTTTGGCACCTTTGTCAAAAATTAGATGGCTGTAGCTATGTGGATTTATTTCCGAGTTCTTTATTCCATTGGCCTATCAGTTTGTTTTTGTGCCAATACCATGCTGTTTTTGTTACTGTGGCTCTGCAGCATAATTTGGGATTGATTATTATGATTTCTCCAGCAATTGCTGTTCTGCTAAGGATTGCTTCAGCTAATTGGGATCTTTTGTACCTCCAGTGAATTTCATGAGCTTTTTAGTTCTATGACGAATGGTGTTAGAATTTTGATGGAGATTTCATTGAATCCAGAGATTACTTTTGGTAATATAGCTGTTTTTATATTGTTCTGCCTATATGTGAGCATGAGGGGGTATGTCTTCAATTTTTTTCTTTTTCTTGAAGTTTTCATTGTAGAGCTCTTTCACCTCTGGGCTAGGGAAATAGCCCAGTATTGGTAAAGTGCTTAGCAAGACAGGAGACTTGAGTTTGAGCCTCAGAACCCACATTAAAAAGCTGGGCATGGTGACAAGCACTTGTAGTCCTCATGCTAGGGAAGCAGAGACAGGCTGGCCTGGCTTGCTTGATGAACTCCTAGCCAGTGACAGACTCTGTCTCAAACAAGGTGGACAGTGCATGAGGAGTGGTGCCTGAGGTTTTTTTGGTCTCCTCACACAGCATGTGCAGCCCTCCCTCTAATACATCAACACACATGAAAATCTAAACACAAAAGAGATCTTTCACTTCTTTGTGTAGGTTTATTCTTTTTTTAAAAAAATAATTTATTTAATAACCACATACTTAGAAGAAGCATTTCATTACAACAGCATTGACATATTCAATAACATTTTCCTGAGCTAAGATGCATCTCTTTCAAAATTGGCTATAAATTTTTAGGTTTACAGTTGAATTATTACAGTTATACAATATTGTACTCAGTATAAACCCTATAAGACATAAAATTAAATGAGGTTTTAACCTTTAAAAAAGATCTCCATTTCATTATTAAAATACATACAGAAAAACTCATTTTTAATGCAAATAACACTTAAATGCTTGCAGATGCATCTCTAATCTCTGTATATCTGATTATTATTAGTCGCAGTCGGTAGCTTTCTGAGATCCTTGGCACCGGAGCATGGATATAAAGTCATCTGGTAGGTTTCAATGGTAATGTTTTTCACATCTACTAATTATTAAGGAGAAAATTTTTATGCTTTGAAGAATTACTATTTTTTTATCATTTCTTAAAAATTTTTTAATAACTACATGATTAGAAGAAGCATTTCACTACAGCTTTAACATATTCAGTAACACACTCCAGAGCAAGAGTACATCTCAGCTCTTTCAAAAGTGGCTATAAAATTTTTAGGTTCGCTGTTGAATTAATAGTTATACAATACTGAACACAGTATAAGCCCTTTAAGACATAAAATTGGATGAGTTTTTAACCTTTATAAAAGATCTCCACTTCATTTTAGAATATATTGTTCCTTGCAGACAGACTCATTATTTTTGCTACTAACACTGAGCTGTTGGCACTTGTATCTCTAATCTGTATGTATCTGATTATTACTAGTCATAATTGGTTTCACTTGGATCCTTGTCACCTGTGTATGTCTATAAAGTCATCAGGTAAATTTTGAAAAGTCAGAATGTACTAACTCCATTTTGACTAGCTTCTTCAGACAAACCCAGGCATGTTGTAAAATTCCAGTTGCTCCCCCCCCCCCCCCCCCGCCCTGGGAAGCTATAGATTAAGCAAGCAAGCCCTGGACATGTAAAAGCCTTATAAGGTATAAACAGAAACTTCTGGCCCTAAAATGATAACAGTCAGCAAGCACATTCCAATGCCCTGAAGACAGCCTGGTCTAATCAGAACTTCCCCCGTACTCAGGATATGGGGCCATCCAATCATTTTAAAAGATGCTTGGTGCGTGCAGGTTTCTGTGGAGTTCCCCAATAAAAGCCCCTTCCTGCTATTGTTTGGGGCCAGACTCCATCTTTGGCTCGTGAAGTCTGTGCCCAGCTAGCCGCCATTTGGTTGCTTTTGCTCTAAATTCCTGAATAAACCTTTTTCTACAATCTTCTTGGTATCTGTGGGAATTATTCTTGATACTCGGACCCTAACAGATTTCAGTGGTAATGTCTATCACCTCTACTAATTAGCATGACATAAATTTCCATCCTTCCTCCTCAAATTTAATACATTTTAAAAAAAATTTGTTGATTTTGTGTGTGTATGCATCACACAGAACATCCCAAACCATCTTATTCAACTATACACCCACTTCCCAGATGGCACCCTCCCATCCTACCCCCACTAGACCCCTTATACTCTGATATCCCTGCTACTGTCTGCTGTGTTGTCAGCACTCCCAGCCATTCCCCACTACTTGCCCTTCTGGTGAATCTAGTCAGCCTATCTAGAGGTCTTTGTTTTAGGAAGGTCAGCT